GCCGAAAGGGTGCAAGACAACTGAAAATTTCTTTTGCAGAAAGCTCTTTAGAGGCCAGTGGTGGTGCACGCCTCTAACCCCAGCACTCGGGAGGCAGAGGCAGGAGGATCTCTGTGAGTTCAAGGCCAACATGGTCTACAGAACAAGTTCTAGGACAGGCTCTAAAACTACACAGAGAAATCCTGTCTCAAAAAAAGGAGGGTGGTCTTTAGAGTTGCAAAGTTATCCTAGGACTTGATAGGGCTTCTGTTTATGCAGAGTGCTTCAGTTTGCGATCTCTCTCCTGAGTGTCAGGTCCAGAAAAGCCATTCTGCTGAATGACATTGCTGACAAAGCAAACAGAGCAAGATATACTTTTGTTTGAACAACTAGGACACTTAAAAAAATTTTCCTCCCTGGGCTGGATGTTTCTCATTGGTTAGAAATGTGGACTGCTCTTGCAGAGGACTAGAATTTGGTTCCCAGCACAATTAACTAGAACTCCAGCTACAGGGCATGGGGGCTCATGTGCACTTAAATGCAATGAAAAAGAATCCTTAAAAAAATAATTGTTGTGGTACTAGAGATTGGACACAAGTACATGCACACTAGGTAAGTCCTCTACGATTGAGCTAGGACATGCTACATTGCTGGGGAGTTGATTTTTTTTTTAACTTAGAAAAGGTCTCATTCAATAACCTGTGCTAGCCTGTAACTTATATAATTCGGGTGGCCTAAGACTCACAATGGTCCTCCTGCCTATGCCTGCCAAGGCCAACCCTTTAGATTCAAGGTCTTACTAAGTTGCCTTTGTAGGCCTAGACTTTGGATCAGCCTGCAGCTTAGAGACCCTGTATCTAAAGGGTCCTAGCCTCCAAAGTAGCTGAGATTCCAAGTGTGTGCCACCACACCTGGAAGAACCTTTAACTGTCTTTTCATGAGCTGTCTTTCCATAGCATAGTTGTACAGCTATGGGTTGTGCAGTGTATCTGCCACATCTGGGAACATTTAGAATATATACATGGCCCTTCTAGCAGTGATATTTGAAACAGACATGATACTGAAACTTGTTGACAGTAGATGCTAGCAGTCTGAGGTGGAAGGGGACCTTATTTTTACTTGTAAATTGAGAAAGTTTGATGGGGAAATCACCATGTGGGAGGAATTTGGAGCACTAGGATGTCAGTTGAGCAATCACATTTCTGAGCTTAATTGCTTATAAGAAGTGGTAAAGAGAAGTAGATTTTTTCAAACCTTACATGGGCAGATAAGAAGACATGCACCTGGAAGCCTGGAAGAGTGGTACTTTGCTTTTTTTCTTTTTCTTTTTCTTTTTTTCTTTTTTAAAAAGACATGTTGTCTTTAGCCCAGGCCGGCCTTGATCAGTAGTGTAGCTGAAACTGGCCTTGAATTCGTTAACACTCCTGTCTTAGTCAAAGTGCTAAGATTACAGGTATGTGGGTCCACACTGGCCTACTTGTCTTAAATATACCATTTTGCCTGTGCTAGAGATTGAACCAGGGCCATGTCTGTGCTGGGCAAACTGTCCAGTACTGAGCTACATTGCACAGACTTTAATCAGCTTTTAAAAGACTTTGGAGCGGAACGGTGGTGGCACATGCCTTTAATCCCAGCACTCGGGAGGCAGAGGCAGGTGGATCTCTGAGTTAGAGGCCAACCTGGTCTACAAGAACAAGTTCCAGGACAGCTAGGGCTGTTACACAGAGAAATCCTGTCTTGAAAAACCAAAAGTAAATAAATAAAAATAAAAAAGACCTTGGGCCTGGTGGCACAAGCCATCTATTCAAAAAGCTAAGTCAAAGCATCCTACAGAGTAAGTTTAAGGCCAGTTTGGGCAACTTAGGAGGCTCTGTCTCCAAATGAAAGCAAAGAACTGGGGATGTGTTTCAGTTCCTAAAGTGCTTGTGAGACTAAGTCTGGATCCCTAGAGCCCAGATAAAAGTCCAGCATGGTGGCACGTGTTTACATTGCGACATTCCTACTGTGAGCTGCTATGCCAGAGACAGCATAATTCCCAAGCTTTATGCAGTGGCAAATAATGAAGAAACAAGAGGGTGGTGGTAGCTCACGCCTTTAATCCTATCACTCGGGAGGCAGAGGTAGGTGGATCTCTGTGAGTTCGAGACCAGCCTGGTCAACAATAGCTAGTTCCAGGACAGGCTCCAAAACTACAGCAAAACCCTGTCTCAAAAAACAAAAACAAACAAACAAATAAAAACAATGAAGAAACAGACACCCGAGATTGTCCTCTGTCCCCATGCACATGCCATGGCATGCATAAACCTAGACATACATCATATGTACATACCTCCACCAACACATACAAAAAAATTTAAAAAAATGATTATAGCTCAGTGGGTGATAGAGGCTTATCTATTAGGTACAAGGCCCTTAGTACAATTTCCACTATTGGAAATAAGTAAAAGATCTTGGATAAAAGGCCCCAAGAGTGCATACAATAAAAACAAAAAACAACAAGTAGGATTATACTAGACTACACATATGAAAAATAAAAGCAGTATGGACAACCTACAAAATAGGAGAGAATTTATCAAACTGAGAAAAGATTAAAGACTTTTGTTTTAAAGATTTGTTTTTTCTTTTTTGAATTCGGTATGGTAGAGGCCTTTAATCCCAGAACTGGGGAAGAGAGGCATGGGGAACTCTGTGAGTCTGAGGCTAGCCTGGTCTACAGAGCTAGTTCTAGGATAGTCTCCAAAACTACACAGAGAAACCTTGTCTCGAAAAACAAAAACGAAGAAATCAACCAACCAAACAAACAAAAACCCACCAAGTTTGAGGCTGGTCTAGGCTCATGAGATTCTCTTTCACAAATGGATAGGGGAACAGGCTGGAAGTGTAGTTAAAAATGGGCAAGGGGGCCGGGCGGCAGTGGCGCATGCCTTTAATCCCAGCGCTCAGGAGGCAGAGGCAGAGGATCTCTGTGAGTTTGAGGCCAGCCTGGTCTACAAGATCTAGTTCCAGGACAGGCTCCAAAGCCACAGAGAAACCCTGTCTCGAAAAAAAAAAAAAAGAAGAAGAAGAAAAAAAGAAAAAAAATGGGCAAGACATAAAAATCAATAAAAAAATACAAAAAAAAATGGGCAAGGGTCTGGTCTGGAGTTGTAGTTTAGTGGTAGAACACATACTTAGGACTTTCAGGGCCCTGGGCTTACTGAATACAAGTTTCATTCTCAACTACATAGAGAGTTGGAGGCCAGTCTGCCCTCGCCTCATGTATGTTTATGTGTTTGTGTATACATACACATAAATTTATATGGTATAGTAGGTATGGTAGCATGTGTCTATAATCCTAGCACTCAGGGACAGAGGCAGGAGGATTCTGAATTTGAAGCCAGAATGGACTGTGGGCCAAATTCTGTCTGTCTTTTCTATTGCTGTGTCAAAACACCATGACTAAGGCAACTTATACAAGACAGCCTCTGATTGGTGTCATGGTTTCAGAGTGTAGAGTTGTTTTAGTCAGGGTTATTATTGCTGTGATGAAACACCATGACCAAAACAACTTAGGGAAGAAAGGGTTTATTTCACTCACAGTTCCACAATACAGTTAGTTCATCATCAAAATCCCGAGGTCAGGAATGCAAGCAGGACTAGAACCTGGAGTAGGAGCTGATGCAGAGGCCATGGAGGGGTGCTGTTTACTGACTTGCTCATCAAGTCAGCCTGTTTTCTTATAGAACCCAGGATCTACAGCCCAGGGGTGGCCTCTCCCACAATGGGCTGGGCTCTCCCACATCAGTCACTAATTAAGAAAATACCCTACAGACTTGCCTGTAGCCCACTCTTATGGAGGCATTTTCTCACTTTAGGTTCCCTTCTCTCAGATGACTCTAGTGAATATCAAGTTGATAAAACTAACCAGCCTAAGAGTCCATTATGACTGAGCAAATGCGTAGCAGTAGGAACAGCTGACAACTCATATCTTGATTCAAAACCAGGGAACAGAGAGAGACACTGGGAATGGTGCAAGTATTTTGAAACCTTCAAAACCTACCTATTGCTGGATGGTGGTGGCGCATACCTTTAATCCCCGCACTCGGGAGGCAGAGACAGGTGGATCTCTGTTAGTTCAAGGCCGGCCTGTTCTATAAGAGCTAGTTCCAGGACAGGCTCCAAAGCTACAGAGAAACCCTATCTCAAAAAAAAAAAAATCAAAAAACAAAACTACCTGTAGTGACACACTTGCTCCAATGACACTACACCGCCTAACCCTTCCCGAACAGTCCACCAACTGGGGACCAAGTATTCCAACCACAACAGCTCCTCCCTTCCCACCAAAAAATATATAAATATAGGAGTGGGAAGCTACTTAGCCCAAGAAAGAATCAAATCCTGTCATTTGTAGCCAGATGGAAATTGGGTGGAATTGGAGGATGTATGCCAGTGAAATACGCCAGACACAGAAAGACAAATACTGTGTTCTTTCTCAGACGTGGAAGTTTAGAAAATGCTGATCTTGATTCAGAGTAGTGATTACTAGACGCTGGTGATTGGGGGAGGGTAAGAGCTATTGGGTGATAGGCACCAGAAGGTAGCTGTTAGAAAAAAGTAGGTGCCAGTGTTCCCGACCACAGTGAAATGGTGGTGTTTTATTAAGAACCTATTGTACACACACACACACACACACATACACACACACACACACGTTCACCTGCACACACATATTGTCATATGTTAACAGTTTTAAAAAGGCCTTGGTTGCTGAGACTTACTTCAGACCTATAGATTTCTATAGAGCTAGTCTGATTTTATTCACTTAATTTTTTTATTACATTTATTTATGTGTGTGTGTGTGTATGTGGACACGTGTGAAGGTTACAGGACAGCGTGTGGGCACCAGTTCTCTCCTATGTGTGCACCCTGGAACCAATGAGGTCATCACAGTTGGTAGGAAGTACCTTTGCTCACTGAGCTATCTTGCTGTCCCTTACTTTTATTGATTATGATTTGAATAACTTACTGTTTTTTTTTTAAAGCCTTGATAAACTTGCTGAAGTTCCTTATGTCAAATGAAACTGTACTTTTGGCCAAACACAACATTTTTACATTGGCCCTTATGGTGAGTTTTAATAAAAATGCATGTTTTTCTAAAGCTAATATAGTAAGGCAGAAATGGACTGCTTTGTAACAGGAACCGAGGTCCGGGATCTAAGCTGTAGTTTCTTTATGTATGAGAGTCTTAAACCTGATGGTCCTCACTTATGCATGTATTTGGCTGGGAGGCATGGATATAGGTTACATCTGTGTATGAATACTGAGCTTGATCCCACCAAGAAACTATACTGTATGTTCGTTCCATTGCAGTCTCTTTGTAGCTTCTCAGCCAGATAAGTGGTTCCATCATTGCTGTACTTGGCTTCTGAAGGGTACATAGAAATGCTTATCTCGCTGGTAATTCAGAGGAGAAAGAGGCCACCAAATCATTAATTGTCTACCCAGCTTGTAAATATTCAGTATTTTGTGGGGGATGAACATGCTGATTTGTTTTATCTGCAAATTGTAGAATGACACCCAAGATATGTAGAATGATGCCAATTTTCAGCTCTCAGCATGACAGCAGTCATGCAGGGCTAAGATGTGCGATAGCATCCTATTGTATGATATTCCCTTCACATGTGTATAAATTAGTTTTATGAGCATAGATAAGAATAAAGGTAGAGAATAAATAAGAAATACAATGATTTCATTTATAATTATACATTATAAATACAATTATATAAAATTGTATATACAATACAATTATAAATTGTATTGTATAAAATTATATATACAATATAAAAATACAATTATATTTCATTTAATATAATTTATCAGTTTATATAAGTGAATTTTTAATAATGGTTCTTTTACAGTCAGTATACAAAATTTTGTATTTTTGCAAACCAGTAAGAGATGGCTATAATATACCACTAGTAATGCCTTTCTGAATTTCATAACCTGATGCCTGTATATGGGCTACTGCTTCTTTTTCAGATTGTGAACCTGTTTAACATGTTTATCACATATGGTGACACATTCCTGCCAACACCCAGCAGCTACGATGAACTTTACTATGAAATTATTCGCATGCACCAGAGCTTTGACAACCTCTATTCCATGGGTAAGGATTTTCTTGTTCTTCTTCTCTCTGTACCTTGTCTGCCTGGTACGTACCAAGAAAATGCTACAAAAGATTCTTTAGGTGGATGGTATAGAAATAAATAGATCATAGCCAGGCATGGTAGTATGTGACTTTAACTCCAGCACTCGTTAGCATGTAATTTGAGGCTAGCCTGGTCTACATGGTGAGTTTTTGGAAAGCCAAAGCTATAAAAGTATACCTTGTCTTAAAAACAATAAACAAACAAAGCCCTGTCCTCTTCTCAGGCAACAGGAAAGTCTGTGTGAGACTTTACCTTTAGGGACTCAGATTTCATCTCAGTGGAAAGCTGTATAGCTCCCTGCCCGCTGTTGATGTGGAGTGTCGTGAAGGGGAAGAGACAGAGGAGGAAGGGTGCATATGCTAGAGAGAAGCTGTGGATTCAGTGAGGTTCAGTAAGACGGTGGAAAAAGAGTGAGTGAAGAACTGGGAAATTGCCTCAGTACACCAGATATGTGTCTCACAGCACGTTGACCTGGGTTTGACCCCTAGTGCACATTTACTAAGCTGAGCATGCTGACACATGCTGTCGGGGTGGACACAGGCAGATTCTAGGCTTTATTGGCCGTCTAGCCTAGCCTACTTGGTGAGCTTCAGGCCTGTGAAAGACCCTCTCTCAAAATATGAGGCAGTAGCCTGGTGGTGGTGGCTCACACCTTTAATCCCAGCACTTGGGAGGCAGAGGCAGGTGAATCTCTCTGAGTTTGAGGCTGGTCTGCAGAGTTTCAAGACAGCCAGAGTTATACAGAGAAACCCTATCTCCAAAAGCCAATAAACAGAAACAGACAAACAACAAACGAGGTGGATAGCATCCCTAAAGAATAACATCCTAGATTATACTCTCTGTGACGTGCACATTTCTCCACACACACACCCACATTCACCTGCACACCCATGAACATGTACACACACACACACACACACACACACACACACACAAACACACACACACAGGAAAGAGCCGAGGAGAGGGTGGTAGCAAACAGAAGAGCTCATATCCCAGAGGGGCAATGTTTTCAGATGTCTAGTGTACCTGTGTATTTTCAGTAAAGCTTACAAAAAGAAGTGGGAATCAGATAAAGTCACTTTGATTAGATAAAATTACTTTGATAATTAGCTCACTAAAAATTTACTCCATATCCATAGTGAGTATAACTTCTTACTGGAGGAGGTGGTACATTCCTGCAAGTCTGGAGAGAAAGAAACATCATGAATCCTGTATACAGTTTGAAAGATTTGGAAAGATCTAAGTTGTACAGAAATAAAAACCACTCAGAGAAAGCATTTTATTTTTAAAATCTCAGCTTACTAGGTTGAGGTGTAAAATCATGGATTTGGCTAAGTTTTGACACAGTATATGTGAACCCGTTACAGTGATCGGGAGAGTGATGAGCCTGTTCACTCCTGCCCCAAAGCTTCACTCCAGCTTCTTATTTATTTACTTTGTTGTTTGTTTTTTGAGACAAGGTTTCATTGCTTTTGCTGACCTCAAATTCACTTTGTAACTGAGGATAACCTTAAACTTCTGATCTTCCTGCCTCCACCTTCCAAGTGCTAGGCTTCCCACTAGACACCATTGTGTCTGGTTGGTTCCATGCTGGTAGTCAGGCCCAGGCTTTCCTGTACATTAGACAAGTTCTCTTACCAACTGAGCTACAGCCTCATCTCTTTTGTTTCCCTTTATAACCCTTTTCTTGTTGACTCTTTAAAAACAAATTAGCCGGGCATTGGTGGCGCACGCCTTTAATCCCAGCACTCAGGAGGCAGAGGCAGGAGGATTTCTGTGAGTTTGAGGCCAGCCTGATCTACAGAGAAACCCTGTCTCGAAAATCGAAAAAAAAAAAAAGAAAAGAAAAAGAAAAAAACAAATGCCTTGCCTCTGCTAGGGACTCCCATATTATAAAAAAAAGTAAGAGGTAAGATGAATAATAAAGTATGTTTTAAAGGAGCCAGCAAGGCCTGGAGAGATGACTCAGCCACTAAGAATATTTACTCTTCTTGTAAAGGACTTGGGTTCAGTTACCACTCAAAACCATCTCTAACTCCAGAGGATCCAATGTCCTCTGACCTCTGCAGGCACATGTGCACATGCTTGTGGTGTGCACAAATGCTCAAGAGCAAACCCATATACGCAGAATGTTTTTTTGTTGTTGTTGTTGTTTGTTTGTTTTTTGTTTTTTTCGAGATAGGGTTTCTCTGTGGCTTTGGAGGCTGTCCTGGAACTAGCTCTTGTAGACCAGGCTGGCCTCGAACTCACTCACAGCGATCCGCCTGCCTCTGCCTCCCAAGTGCTGGGATTAAAGTCATGCGCCACCACCCCCTGGCTACACAGAATGTTTTTAAAAGTGTGTTGCAGGGGACAAAGGGCAATGAGATGGCTCAGTTGGTAGTAACAGTACGAACTGTTGTACAATCCTGGTGATGTAATTTCAATCATTGGAACCTATGGTGAAAGAAAAGGGTCCCAGTGTTGTCCTTTGACTCGTACATATATCCTTTAACTGTACTTGAAACTAAAGCTATTATCCATATAGTAAGTTAAGAAAAACAAAAGCCATCCACCAAAAATATTACTACTAGGTGGTGGTGGCTAACCCTTTAATCGCAGCACTTGGGAGGCAGAGGCAGACGGATCTCTGTGAGTTTATAGCTGACCCAGTCTACAGAGTGAGTTCCAGCACAGTTAGGACTGTTACACAGAGAAACCCTGTCTCGAAAAACACAAACAAATAAACAAAATAGAAAAGCTGAAGAAATTTACCCCAAAATTGTGATATTAGGCTGAGGAGGACACAATTAAGCTGGTAGAGTGCTTTTCCTAACATGCAGGAAGCCCTGGGTTCAATCCCCACCTCTCCAGATTATGGGTGTGTTGTTGGCATGTGCTTGTAATCTCAGCACTCAGCAGGTAGAAGTAGGAGAATCAGAAGTTCAAGCTCATTCTCATCAGTATAAGGAGTTCTAGGCAAGTCTGGGCTACATTAGACCTTGTCTCAAGAAGCGGGGGTAGATTGGCTGGGGGACAGCTCAGCTGGTAAAGTACTTGCCTAGCAAATATGAAGACCTAAGGTTGATCATTCGAAACCACATAGAAAAGCTGCTAGATACAGTGGCAGGGTAAACCCAGTGTTGGAAAGTTAAATCAGGAGAAATTTGGGTTCAAGGGTTATTTTGGGGATGTAGCTCAATTCATAGAATGCTTGCCTAACATGCATAAAAACTTGGGTTTGATCCCTTGCACTTCATAAACCTGTAATCCCAGGAGCTGGGTGATACAGACAGGAAGATGAGAAGTTTAAGGTCATAAATGGCTTCACAGCAAATTCAAAGCCAGCCTGAGTTACAATAGACACTGTTTTGGGGTTTAGGTTTTTAAAATTTATTTTATTTTAGTGTGTGCGAATGTTTGGTTTGTGTGTGTGTATGCGTGCAAGTGCGCATGTGTATGCTCAGATATGTGCATTGAAGCCAGAAGAGGGCATCAGATCCGTTGAAGTTGGAGTTACAGCTGTTGTTGAGACCCCTGCTTGTTCTATTGGTGCTGGGAGGTCAGCTGTGGTCTTGGTGATTGCATAGCAGGCGCAGTTAACTCGACTAAGTCATTCCTCCAGTCTCTGGGAAGTTACTGAGCTTTCTTCCCTCAGACCTTGAAAGATCCTACTGATTTCACATAGGATACTTTTCAGAACAATGATCAGTATTATGTGAACAAATACATAACAGAACAAAATCCAACATCTGTTGTATAAAAATCATGTTTACATCTAACCCAGGAGAGAGTTAAAGCAGTAGAGCAGATCAGTAGTGCTGATGTGAAGGCATCCGGATGTGGTAGGCACTCCAGCAGGTCAGCGCTGACCCAGTGTCCTCTTCTGATCGCCACACACCTGCACTCAGTGTTACACACACACACACACACACACACACACATGAATAATATAAATCTCTAAGAAATATTGTTTGGCCTGACAGTGGTGGTCCAGCACTCAGGAGGAAGAGGCAAATGGATCTTTGTGAGTTCTAGGACAACCAGGGCTACACAAAGAAACCCTGTCTCAGAAAAATAAAAAAAGAAATAAAACTTTTTTAAACAGTATCATTAGACAACTCTCCCTTGAGAAGCTTGTATCCACACATGGTTATGCCTTAACTCTTCTGAGATCCTCTCTATCTCCTATTCCTCATACTCATGTCTGTATTAAAATACCTTTTTAAAATTTTTTGAAGCCGGGCAGTGGTGGCGCACGCCTTTAATCCCAGCACTCAGGAGGCAGACAGGTGGATCTCTGTGCATTCGAGGCCAGTTTGCTCTACAAGAGCTAGTTCCAGAACAGGCCCCAAAGCTACAGAGAAACCCTGTCTTGAAAAACAAAAAACAAACAAACAAAAAATTTGAAAGGCTTGTATTTTTTTTAAGGATGGTTTTTTTTCTTTATATTTTATGTATTAATGCTCTACATATATGCTGGCAAGCCAGAAGAGGGCATCAGATTCAATTATAGACGATTGAGAGCCACCATGTGGTTGCTGGGAATTGAACTCAGAACCTCTGGAAGAGCAGCCAGTGCTCTTAACCACTGAGCAATCTTTCCAGCCCGAAAGGCTTGTATTTTTAATTGTGTGTATATGCATGTGTCTATGTGAGTATATGTGACATGTGTGTTTATACTGTGTGTGGGTGTCCATGGAAGCCAGAGGCATTGAGTTCCTTGGAACTAGAGGTATAGATCGTTGTGATTCACCTGAAATTCTGCTAGGAACTGACCCTAGATCCTCTGGAAGAGGGATGCCTGCTTTTGCCCACTTAGCCATGTCCCTAGCCCCTGTCTTGAATAACACTTCCAACTTTGCTTTATTATATAGAAAAATCACCAATAAAAGATTGAGGTATTCTCACTACTGCACATGATTAGTCTTAAAAAAAAAAAAAGACTGCCAGGCAATGGTGGTGCTTTAATCCC